TATTATAATAATATATATATATATATATATATTATAATAATATATATATATATATATAGTGTTTTGTATCAAACTCGACAAATAAAACATATTTCTCTGTTGCGAAAAGATTTTGGTAGTCGATTGCAGCACGTGGAGCAGATGAGTGCTATCTCCAGGCGAATTTATATTGTGAAATGCTGCAAGAAACTCTGCGAATGTGTATTCGATCGATACACGTTTATACGAGGTAGATTTGAAGTGAAGGATACGCGACGTATGTATAACTATCAAGAGTAAATAGCTTTTTTAAGGACGTGTATGCTCTCAAACTTGTAGTTGTTATTGACGCCCAAAACGGCGATATGAAATTTACAAGCCTGCAGTCATAGCCTTTGTCTATTTTGAAGGCTATGCTGCAGGCTGCAGGAGCTGAGAAAAATTGCATGGATATTAATGTCCTTCGGACGTTAGTTCAATCCCCTATATTTTAGTCTTCTACTCTTTCACTACTAGTAGTAGAGAGAGAGAGAGGGTCATGAGACTCATGCCTTCTATTGTTGCAAAAAAAAAAATAGGGTTAAAAAAAAAGGGCCGTAGCATAGCCCGTATTTTAGCCCTCTAAATTATACGCAGCCTTTTAAATAAATTGAAACAGCCGTAGCCTCCCTCTATTTAAAAAAATATATACTTTACTAGGGAGGGGCTTATAAAAATATTTAGACTTCAAATAGAGGGCCTTCGACATATTCTATTTTGTTTTTCTTGTTTAAAAAAAAACACCAAAATTCTTGTTATGTTTGGTCATGTCGTAAACCCTACTTTCTGCAGATCTGTAGCATCAGATCTGTGTTTGCATATTTGTCCCGACTGACACTTTCAGTATATTTATATATATTTTGAATGTGTATATTAGGTATATGCGTACTCTCGCATGAGAAGGCACTGGCTGTAACCATAGTATATTCAGACTATATACATAGGCGTGACTGTATAGAAAGTAAATATATACACTACATACTCTCTATATAGACTAGATACACTTGTGTTGGTGACTACCTGAAATTATAAACGGCTTTGAACATCCGACATGCTTGCGTCCCGAATTGGTGCCCGTGCGGGTCCTTCCGTGCGCCAAATCACATCTCTACGCGCACAAACTCACACATGTAGCCCATCAGTTGCACTCGCACAGAAAAACTCATCTTTACGTATGTATACGTCTGAATCCTCACAAAACACTCCCAAACGTACAGCATTGTATGATCTTCATGTGGAGAACGGTGCTACCTTTGCCACCTTTGCTGGCTGGCAGATGCCCATGAAGTTCGGGGACTTGACAGCATTGGAATCACACCACCACACACGTCGCAATGCATCTATCTTTGATGTGTCACATATGCTGCAGTTGAGCTTCACTGGGCCTAATCGCACGGAGTTCTTGGAGAGGATTGTGTGCGGCGATATTGCAGGTGTGTATATAGCTAAGAATAGGTCTCTTTAGCGATTGACCTGGACTAATATCGATTTTTTTGGGATATAGAACGAAAAATTTCACGATGACTTCAGTCAATCTCCTAAAACGATACGTTTAACTGAATATACTTCCTATCAGTTATCGCAGTGCACGTTTGTCTATTTATATTAAGGTTTATGTACTCAGGTATTCCTTTATGCTATGTCTCAAAAAGTATATCATCTTTCATCTGATAAATGTATATATAACCATGTTAAGATCATATATATATACATATATATATGAATGTATTTATGTATATATATTTAAATA